CCCCGGTGAGGATCAGGGGAATCCCGGGAATGCCAGGAATGCCGGGCAGGAGGGCAGGGATGGGAGATCACCCCGGTGAGGATCAGGGGAATCCCGGGAATGCCAGGAATGCCGGGCAGGAGGGCAGGGATGGGGGATCACCCCAGTGAGGATCGGGGGGAATGCCGGGAATGCCGGGCGGGAGGGGAGGGATGGGGGATTCTCCATCCTCCCCCAGTGAGGATCGGGGGAATGCCGGGAATGCCGGGCGGGAGGGGAGGGGTCAGGGTTCCCCCCCGGTGAGGATTGGGGGAATCCCGGGAATGCCGGGTAGGAGGGGAGGGATCGAGGAGAATGCCGGGAATGCCGGGCGGGAGAGGAGGGATGTGGGATCCCTGTGGATCCAGCAGGATCGGGGGATGGCTCCGTCTCCAGCCCTGCCGGATTGGGGAACGTCTCCCAAAATCCTATTCCCGGGATTGAGCCCTTCCGTGTTGTCCCGGGAGTCTTGGGATGCTGGGAAGGATGGCAGTGGGAAAACTGGGATGGGGAGACCTCCCTGTCCATCGCCGGGCTCATCCATTCCCGTCATTCCCGGTTTTCCCAAGTCCCTGAGCATCCAGACGGCGTCTCTGGCCGAGGCGGAGAACATGGCGGAGCTCATCGACGGATACTGCCGGATCCAGCGGGACACGGACACATCCCTGCTCGTCAGCCACGGGAAAGGTGGGATGGGCTGGGAATGGGCTGGGAATGGCGTGGGAGGGGGGCGGGATGGAGTGGGATGAGGTGGGATGGGATGGAGTGGGATGAGATGGGATGGGATGGGGTGGAATGGGAATGGGATGGAATGGGGTGGGAATGGGATGGGATGGGGATGGGATGGAGGGGAATGAGGTGGGAATGGGGTAGGAATGGAGAGGGAATGGGGTGGGATGGGATGGAGTGGAATGGGAATGGGATGGAATGGGGTGGGAATGGGATGGGATGGAGATGGGATGGAGGGGAATGGGGTGGGAATGGGGTAGGAATGGAGAGGGAATGGGGTGGGATGGGATGGAGGGGAATGGGAATGGGATGGAATGGGGTGGGAATGGGATGGAGGGGAATGGGGTGGGGATGGAATGGAGGGGAATGGGGTGGGATGGGATGAAATGAGATGGAGTGGAATGGGATGGGAATGAGATGGAGATGGGATGGAGATGGGATGGAGATGGGATGGAGGGGAACAGGGTGGGAATGGGGTGGGATGGGGATAGGATGGAGTGGAATGAAGTGGGAATATGATGGGATGGGATGGAGATGGGATGGAGGGGAACAGGGTGGGAATGGGGTGGGATGGGGATAGGATGGAGTGGAATGAAGTGGGAATATGATGGGATGGGATGGAGTGGAATGGGGTGGGGATGGGGTGGAATGGAGATGGGATAGAGTGGAATGGGGTGGGAATGGGGTGGGATAGAGTGGAGATGGGATGGAGTGGAATGGGGT